CACGCAACCACGGGACAAAGCCAAGCAACCAGAGACGTGGCTGGTTCCTAAGGCGACGGTGGCCGAGCAACGAGGCATCCGGAACGTGGCTAATTCTGGGGGCAAGTCCATGCTTTCGGCCTACGTCTCTGGACACAGTTGTCCTTCCCCAGTGAACAGCACGACCTCCTCTCCCCGGAGAGGCGACTGTCGCGCGTGCCCCCGCCAGAGCAGAGGTCACCACAACCCTGCATTCAGGTCAGGCTCTCCCGAGGGCCTCCTAAATTCCCGTCCTTTGTGCTCCAGCGGATCGGAGGTCGCAGCTAACAGCTCCCACCGGCCCGCTCGCGAAGAGTCCCGAGGCAGAGGGGAGGGACGCGGCGCCCAGTCAAGGACGAGAGGAGAATGAGGAGGCAGGGCCGCAGGGGACAGCCCCGACGAGAAGCAGACCCGTGGCCAAAGCCCTGCCGCTTTTCCATGCACACACTACTCACCTTCTGTCGGGGGCCGCCGCCGAGGCTGCTCTGCTGAATGTCCGGACCACACGGAGCCCCTCAGGAACCGGGTCACTTACTGAATATGGCGGCCTCCGGTAACTTGGTCAGCCGGGCCTGATGAACGGGAAGTCTGGAAGGACAAAAACCCGTCATTCGGCACAGTCCTAGTTCGGTGGTGCTCGGCAATTTCCGTCAACAGACGGGAAGCGGGGTGGGGCGGAGGAGAGGGTGGAGGGCGTACCCCCAAGAAGGAGGTGGGAGGGCGGGGACGGGTCCGGAGCACGGGGGCGGGGCGGGAGCGCGGGGGTGGGGCGGAGGCGGGGCGGGAGCGCGGACGGGGCGGGAGACGGGTTGGATCCGCATTTCCGCCGGAAGCGGCTGGGAGGTTCTAAAGTGTTCGGTCATATCCGGCACCTCTAGAGGCGGTTCCCTCGTCTTCGGGGACCTAGAAGTACAAATTTAATATGAAGTGAGCCTTTTATTAAGTTATTGCCAGGGGCACACACACACACACACACACACAAACCAAACCCGCAGATCATTTGTTATTGAATTCACAGCTCCAGATTTTACGTTGAGAAATGAGAGCGGTAAAGTGCTTTGACCTTTAACCTTTGGCCGGGCCAGGAGGAGGGAAACGCCTCCGTCTCTATATAAGGACTCTTCCGGCTTCTCGCGGCCCTTTTTGTCCCATCTCCTAGCGTTCTGCCCTTTCGCCTGCGCCCCACTTTTCCTCCGCTGCCGCCCGCCTCCTGGTACAGCCGGCGCCATGGGTTTCGGAGACTTGAAGAGCCTTGCCAGCCTCCAGGTGCTCAATGACTACCTGGCCGACAAGAGCTACATCGAGGGGTGAGCCGGGGAGCGGGCCCGGGGCTGGGACCGGCCGGCGCCACGTGGCTCCTCGCCGCTGCGGGGAAGGAGGCCGGGTCGCGGGCCCGTGCCGGTGGCAGGCCGGCGCCGCCGTAAGGGCGAAGCCCAGCCTCAGGGGGAAGGGGTGGAGGGGGAGAGGCGGTCTAAGACTCAGTTTTAGCGCGTTTCTGCATGCTAATTGAGTGCCAGCTTGTAGATAAAGCTATCGTTAGCGTGTGCCAGCTTGTAGATAAAGCTATCGTTAGCGTTTGTACTCCTCGTTCCAAGCTGAATGGCAGACGCTTTGCCAGAATGTCGCAGTAACCCACAGGAATGGTCCCTGCCCATAAGGAGCTCAGGGAAATATTTAAGCCGCTGAGGCAGCCCAGCAATAAAAGGAGTGTTCACTAATTAGCTTGTCGGGTGTAGCTTTTGTCAATTACTTGCTGGCGTGCGTGACTGCGCTTTTTAAGACGCGTGTCGTTTTTGGCAGGTATGTGCCATCACAAGCAGATGTGGCAGTGTTTGAAGCGATCTCCGGCCCTCCACCCGCTGACTTGTATCATGCCCTACGTTGGTATAATCACATCAAGTCGTATGAAAAGGAAAAGGCCAGGTAAAATGTGATCTAAAGACTAAAGCTCTCTAAACTTATAAACTTATATTAGGGTTTTCTCCCATGGCAAGACTGGACCCAGGTTTCTTCAGCTTGGTTGGGATGTTGTAAGCTTAAATTTACTTGTGACTTTAGAAGGCCAATAGACTGAAGCCCTCCATTTTTCCACAGAACAGGTAGAACATGGACAACAGCAGTTCAACTTTTCCCTCCCTGCCTTGCCAGTGTGCCTGGATTCTGACCTAGGGGGGCCACCTCTGGGGTGAGAGGGTGGCTCATTCATTCAGTCCTTGGCCATTCTTCTGAAACTGTCAACAAGGGTGGAAGTTTGGGGAAGTGGACTCCATCCAGTTCACTGAATGGAACTGAGCATGCTTAATGAAATGTTCAGACTGAAAGAGTAAAGCCTAGTGAGTATTGACTACTGTCTCACGTACTAATGCTTGTTGGGTGAGGAGATTAAAAAATCAAAAAATTGACTCTCTCTGTCTCACTCACTGCCGCACACACACTCTCTCACTGCCTCACTCAGTGACTCACTCTCTCACTCTCACTCACTCACTCTCTGCCGCACACACACTCTCTCACTGCCTCTCTGTTACTCATTCTCACTCACTCACTGCCGCACACACACTGTCTCACTGCCTCACTCAGTGACTCACTCTCTTACTCTCACTCTCTCACACACTCACTCACTGACTGACTCACTCACTGTCACATTCACTCACTCACTCTCAATGCCTCACTCACTCACACTCATTCTCACTCTCACTGTCTCATTTACACCATGTCTCACTCACCGCCTCACTCTCTCACTGCCGCACACACACTCTGTCTCTCTCTAACTCACTCAGTGACTCTCTGTATGCCTCCACTCACTCACTGCCTCACTCTCACTCACACTCATTCACGCACTCACTGTCTCACTGCCTCACTCACTCTCTCACACACACTCTCTGTCTCTCTCTAACTCACTCAGTGACTCACTCTCTATGCCTCCACTCACTCACTCTGTCTGTCTCACTCTCAGTCAGTGACTCACTCTCTCACTCTCACGCTCTTTCTGTCTCACTCACTGACTCATTCATTCATTCACTCACTGCTTCACTCACTCACTCACTGCCTCACTCTCACTCACTCACTGCTGCACACACACTCTCTCACTGTCTTGCTCACTCACTCACTCATTCACTGACTCTCACTCGCTGCCTCTCTCACTCATTCACTGCTGCACACACACTCCTCACTGCCTCACTCAATCATTCACTCACTGCCACTCACTGTCTCACTGCCTCACTGACTGACTGACTGACTCACACTCACTCACTGCCCCTCAGTCTGTCTCACTCTTTCACACACTCACTCTCTGTCTCACTCACTGACTCTCACTGTCTCATTTACACCATACCTCACTCTCACTCACTCACTCACTCACTCACTCTCAATGCCTCACTCACTGACTCATTCACTGACTCTCACTGTCTCATTTACGCCATGCCTCACTCACTCACACTCACTCTCTCAGTCAGTGACTCACTCTCACTCTCTGTCTCATTCACTCACGGACTCACTCACTGACTCTCACTGTCTCATTTACGCCATGCCTCACTTACTCACACTCATTCACGCACTCACTGCCTCACTCTCACTCACTCACTCACTCACTCACTCACTCACTCATTCACTGTCACATTCACTGACTCTCACTCTCTCACTCACTGCCTCACTCACAGACTCTCACTGTCTCATTTACTCACTGACTTACTCTCTCTCACTCTCTTTCTGTCTCACTCACTGACTCATTCATTCATTCACTCACTGCCACACTCACTCACTCACTGCCGCACACACACTCTCTCACTGTCTCACTCACTCATTTACTGTCTCATTCTCTCACTGCCTCCAGTCACTCACTCACTCTCTGTCTCACTCATTGCCTCACGGTCTCACTGCTTCATTCTCTCTCTGCCTCACTCACTCACTGCCGCTGTCTTACTCTCTGTCTCACTCACTCACTGCCGCACACACACTCTCACTGCGTCTGACTCACTCTGTCAGTGACTCACTCTCTGCCTCATTCACTCACTCACTGCCACTCACTGTCTCATTCACTCACTTCCTCACTCTTACTGCCGCACACACACTCTCTCCCTCACTCACTCACTCACTGCCTCTCTGACTCATTCACTGTCGCACACACACACTCTCTGTCTCTCTCACTGCCTCATTCAGTGACTCACTGTCTCATTTACTCACTGACTTACTCTCACTCTCTGTCTCACTCTCTGTCAGTGACTCACTCTCACTCTCACACACTCACTCTCTCCCTGCCTCACTCTTACTGCCGCACACACACTCTCTCCCTGCCTCACTCACTCACTGCCTCTCTGATACATTCACTGCCTCACTCAATGACTCACTCTCTGACTCATTCATTCATTCACTCACTGCCTGACTCAGTCACTCACTGTCTCACTGCCTCACTGTCTCACTCTCTCACTATCACTGCCTCACTTACACCATGCCTCACTCACTCACACTCACTCTGTCTCACTCACTGCCTCACTCTCTCACTGCCGCACACACACTCTGTCTCTCTCTAACTCACTCAGTGACTCTCTCTATGCCTCCACTCACTCACTGCCTCACTCACTCACTCAGTCAGTGACTCACTCTCTCACTCTCACTCTCACTCTCTCACACACTCACTGCCTCATTTATGCCACGCCTCACTCACTCACTCTCTGCCGCACACACACTCTCTCACTGCCTCACTCAGTGACTCACTCTCTCTCTCTGTCTCACACTCTCAGTCAGTGACTCACTCTCTCACTCTCACTGCCTCACTCTCACTCACTCACTGACTCACTCATTCACTGACTCTCACTGTCTCATTTACACCATGCCTCACTCACTCACACTCACTCTCGCACTGCCTCCAGTCACTCACTCACTCAGTGCCGCACACACAGTGCCTCACTCAGTCACTCTGTCTCACTCTCACTGCCTCACTGTCTCCCTGCTTCATTCTCTCACTGCCGCTGTCTTACTCTCTGTCTCACTCACTCACGGCCTCACTCATTCACTGACTCTCACTCGCTGCCTCTCTCATTCACTCACTGCCACTCACTGTCTCATTCACTCACTTCCTCACTCTCTCACTGCCTGACTCAGTCACTCTGTCTCACTCTCACTGTCTCATTTGTGCCACGCCTCACTCACACTCACTCACTGCCCCTCACTCACTGCCTCACTCTGTCTCACTCTTTCACACACTCACTCTCTGTCTCATTTACACCATACCTCACTCTCTCACTGCCTCTCTCACTCTCACTCTCTGTCTCATTCACTGACTCTCACTGTCTCATTTACGCCATGCCTCACTCACTCACACTCATTCATGCACTCACTGTCTCACTACCTCACTCACTCACTCTCACTGCCTCACTCAAAAAAAAAAAAAAATTTTCCTGGGAGTGCTAAAGGGTAAATTTTTAAAGCAAAAGGGGTCTTGGTAAAGAGTCATGAAAACAAGTTCTTGTGTATTGCCTATAGCACAGTGGTTCTCAGCCTGTGGGTCACAACCCCATTGGGGGTTGAACGACCCTTTCACAGGGGTCACCTAATACATCCTGCATATCAGATATTTACATTACGATTCATAACAGTAGCAAGCTTACAGTTAAGTAGCAATGAAAATAATTTTATGGTTGGGGGTCACCACAACATGAGGAACTGTATTAAAAGGTTGCGGCATTAGGAAGGTTGAGAACCACTGGCCTAGAGAAAGACTTAATTCCATTCTAATAGTTGAATGTGATATTTGATTTTTTTTTTTTTATCAAGTTTGCCAGGCGTAAAGAAAGCTTTGGGCAAGTATGGCCCTACTAATGTGGAAGACACCACAGGAAGTGGCGCTGCAGACAGTAAGGATGATGATGACATTGATCTCTTTGGATCTGATGATGAGGAGGTATGACATCGTTATGTGAGCACATTTGATAAGGCAGGAGTGTCTTATTGTGCTTAAGGACTGGCTTTTGTAGCCAAATTGTCTTGATTCAAATTCTAGCTGCAGCACTTCCCTGCCTTAAAAATTGTTACCCGCTGACATGATGAATAAAATCAAATCACCATCTTTCGGCTGACCTCCTGATGGATTTGCTTTTTTCTGATACAGCTGGTCTGTTTTCTTAAGACCCCACCAGCTTTGAGCTGATAACAATAGTTTATTGATAACTACACATTTGTTTTTACAGGAAAATGAAGAAGCCAAGAGGCTCAGAGAAGAACGCCTTGCACAGTATGAGTCAAAGAAAGCCAAGAGTAGGTCATTTTTTAAAATGGGTTTATTCCCCCCCCCCTCTTTTTTCCCCTACTTTTTCTGATAATTAGGCTTAAGTCTAAAGGAATTTCCTTTGCGTTCATTGACTGTTGGTATTTAAAACTTCCACAGCTACTGGTCTGCAGCTGTTTTTATGGTAGCAGTTGTGGCATTCCTCTGTGGGAAAGAAAGTGTTACCCAATGTGACATCCCTCTTTCCCAGCAAAATGGAAAGTTGGGCATATGTGTGTGACAGACACAGATACTGGTTTGTCTTGGAAATGGTCCGTTTCAAAACAAATTGGTACTTAGCTGCCACAGAAGAGTGGGTAAACATGTTTGAACAATGTTTCGTGTACTTTTTAGAACCTGCACTTGTTGCCAAGTCTTCCATCTTACTAGATGTGAAACCGTGGGATGATGAGACCGATATGGCAAAATTGGAAGAGTGTGTCAGAAGCATTCAAGCAGACGGCTTGGTCTGGGGCTCATGTAAGTGTTTTCTTTTGCTTCCATGGCAGCTTGAATTTGCATACTTTTATTGATCAATACAGTGAAAGTGTGTGTGCTGAAAATATATAGCAAACGTTTGCCAGTTCAGCCCCTTTTACATGTATAATTCTAAATGTGCTTACTATATTATCTTGATAGTTTTGTGTATTTGAAAGTGTTTCTAACTTTTTTATGTATAAGAAGGCCAAATATAAGGCAACCTCTTGACAGTTAGATATGAACCATACTTATTTAACTGCTGCATTCAAGTCTGACTTAACAGAAGTGGAGCTCATTCTTATTTGGGGGAGTATATTTCATATAAGCAGGATTATACAATGTTTGTCCTTTTGTGCCTGACTTCCTTCACTCATCTATTATTTTAAAAATTCTCTTTTTTAGCCAAGCTTGTTCCAGTGGGGTATGGAATTAAAAAACTTCAAATACAGTGTGTAGTTGAAGATGACAAAGTTGGTACAGATATGCTGGAAGAACAGATAACTGCTTTTGAAGACTACGTGCAATCCATGGATGTGGCTGCTTTCAACAAGATCTAAAGTTCCTCCTGGATGGTTGCACTTAAATAAATGACTAAAAGACAACTCATGGCTCTTGAGTCTGTTATGTGAGAGGGATGTGGACTATTTTCCTCTTATCTTCAATTTGATAATATGAAGGGAGTTCCAAAAATTTTATGGGGAAATCCCATTATCTTTTTTATTAGAAGATCATTTTATTGGGGGTGCTTATAACAATCCATACATCAATTGTATCAAACATTTGTACATATGTTGCCATTATTTCTAGACATTTATTTTAAGCGCTTGGTATCAGCTCCTCTCACCCCCTCCCCCACCCTCTTTGTGACCCCATATCATACCGCTGCCTCCTCTTATGGTTTCCGTGCCCCCCTCCAGGGGTGGGTTATGTGTCCATCATTGCAATTGGTACCCCATCTTCCCCCTTCTTAATTCTGAGGGAAGGACATCATTGTTGATGTAATTCAGCAATGATTGTAAGTTGCCT